TTTTTTTTTTTTTTTTTGTATTTTTGGTATTTTTGCCACACGACGCGGTGCGCTGCGACGTTCGGTGACGCTTTTCGGTTCCGCAAAATGCATTTATAGCCGGCCAAAGGTGAGAGCGAGAGAGAGAGAGAGAGAGAGAGAGAGAGCGAAGGAGAGAGGGGTAGCGCCAAACAACTAGAAATAGAACTGCAACATGTACGAGGAGGCATTCGTCGGGCGAGTACTTAATCTTTGCGATTTATAGCCAGGCCGACTTTCCATTATTTTTAACGTTTTGCTTGTCGCATCTATGGTGTCTCTGTATTGCGGGCATCCACACACACAAACACACATATATAAACATGTATTTTTAGTATACTTTGCTTGCATTCCTATCATGTCATGTTGTTGCGCATCCGCAAGAAACTTTGAGCAAAGGAATGGAAAATGTTTCAATTGTTGCAATATATGACTTTATAAATATTATATATGATTTCTCAAGTAAAGTCCAATTTTCTACAATTCATCTATTTGTAGTATTTTTTATGATAGTACTTAGCTAGTAACTATCGCACTTTTAAGTATTTTCCTTTGCAGTATTATTCTCGAATCGTTTTAGTCTTTCAGTTATTTAGGCTGAACCAATCTTTCGCTCTAGTGTAAATATTATTTTCAAATTTTTACCTTACAGTTTACTGTCTTAGCTAAAGGGTATTTCATGGTCGATCACAATCACTGTGCGTGCTGTTATTTTTGGTAGCTGCTTTGGCTAGCTGCTTGTTGCTGGCAAACGCGCAATAAATTGATTTCTAATACCGTCTGTCTTGGCTGTCTGCATCAATATTACGGATATATGTATGAAATGCGAATCGGTTTCTTAATTGGGATTAAACATAACGAGCATTTCCGTCATATCCACTAAGTTGCCAGAGGTGAGAGGATTCAAGGTCAAACTGAAGCTTATCCTAAGGTACAGTAGGCAAAGGAACTGCAGTATATGCAGCAGCATATACCCAGTGATTCCATTACAGGGTATCTCTAGCAGCTACATACTTTGTGTAAAAAAGATAGAAAGGATACCATTCAGAGTGCTTTCTAGCTCTATCATATGCCTATCTATCTGATACATGTTAGTTACTTAAGTAAAACATACTGAAGGGTATTCCCATAGATCATATTTCATTTCTCTAAATGACAGGGTATCTTAAGACACATCACAGTCGTTACTAAGAGGATCAATAACAAGGCATTCCTAGTACTTTTCAAATATATCTCATATTGACTCGAATACTTTAAGTATATCTCATTACAGGGTATCTACAGCATCGACATTAGCAAAACTCAAAAGATTATTCCTTAGCTATTCAGAAGGCATCTCATATATATCACGTGAATATTATTTGAGCTGCGCATTTTACAGGGTATCCGCACTAACGACATTGCCCACACAAGTGCCAGCTTGTTAAGATTATTTATGCATCTCATCGCATACTCTCTCTTTTAACTGCAAAATAAATATTTCCCAGCTATATATTCGACATGCATGTAATTGCAGTGGGACGAGTATATATCAGGAGACGGTGCGCTCATTTCGCTGCGACATAAAAATACAGAATGTAATAAATATAAAACTGAATAATATATACATATATAGAGAAGTGTAATGTATTTTTCTGTTTCGGCACTCTTTTTGTTAAATATATTTTCATTTCGACCTGAACTTTTATTATGCATTTTGTGCAATTTTAATCGCTGCCTGAACAAAGTAAACAGAACTTTTAGCTGTCAGCGATAGAGCGAGAGAAAAAAGAGAGAAGAAGATATATGTATATATATAGAGAGAGAGGGAGAGATATCAAGAGAACGAGTGAAAGGAAGCGCTAATCTCAGATTAAGCTTCACTTTTTATTTCAAGGGCTGTTGATCTGAAATGTTGTACCTAGAAGGTATAAGAATATATACTGAACAAATTGTACTATCTGTACATCTACAGCTATGTCCTTTGATGAGCCTTATGATATTTCATAAAAATATATTTCATTCATATTTCATTCTATATGCGATTTTCACTCTGTAACTAATCAAAGTTCATGTTTGTCTAGGCATACGATCTTCGACATGAAACTCTATAGAATATAGCTTGAACAAAAACACTAAATATATACGTTTATATATACATATTCGCACACGCACAATTTATGGCGAAAAGTAACAAAGAGTAACATTATAGAGGTCCATTTCCTTCCCCTACTTGGCGCATTGGCAAACGAGATGGTTCGTAACAGAGACTCATGTTGTCATATGTAGCTGCTAGAGATGTATATTAAATGCATTTGCATGTAGGGTAAAAACATGCCATTTGCACGCTGAGCGATTAAAATAAACGTTCTCGAAATTGTAACAACAGGAAGACATTTAACCAAAAGTGTACAAAAAATTGCACAAGGCTGAACGAGTCCCACGAAAACAAACGACGGCATTTAAAATACGTACGAAATATATTCACATATATCAATACAAAATGAGCTAATTATGTATGGCTCTATATATAAACTATATACATGTGTGTATATGCATATACGCATACATATTTCATATACTGTGCGACGTCATATGATAAGAGCTTTTGTTGTTTACTACATTTTAATAGATAGATGATAGAACACTCTGTATTATACTATATGAAGGTCTTATTATAAAGTGTAATGCAAAGTGTTTGCTTGGCCAGATTGGGGAGCAACTTTAGCTATTGTCATCTACAACTGAAGAACCATAGTGAAATTATAGTGAGATTGAAAGAGCATTAGATGAGATATTTGGATAATGGTAGGGGCTTTGATAGCAAAAGTGTTTAATCTAATACAAATTGCAACTGGGATCATTGGGAATATTGAAATACATTAAAGAATCTCTTCTATCATAGGAACTAGCATCATGATTTATTTATAAATCTATATTAATTGTTCATTTTGCATACAGTACTGTACAATGAATCTTCAGGATTTTTATATAGAAAGGTTCTCACTAATAATACTCTTGATTTATATAAAACATATATTCTATCTTCAAAATTATTTATAGACCTTTTCTTCAGTATCATTTAATAGATTTTGAATTATTTATTAGCTGTTTATGGGATATTGAGGAATGCTAGGGATAGGTAGACCTATAGAAAATGGAGCTAAACCAATTCGCACATTTATTCATTGGGTATTTAAGAGCACTAAAGGCTTATAAAAGCTAACTGTTAAGTCTTCCATAAGAACTAACATCAGCTTTACAAAATACCGAAAATTCCATACAAATTAGAAATTTTCAATAACATTTTCTATAGTTTTCGCCTTCTTCAGCTCATCGCATCAACCACTATTATGCATTATTCCCAGCTTTTCCATTAGACCGTTACATTTTGCTGGCTAAATTTCCCAGCTAAGGGTGGAAAACTTTTGGGTTGTTGCACTGACTAAAGCCAAAGCTTTTGCATAACTTGAACGCCGAGGCGCCACCTGGCGTGCGCCAATAAATCGCAGTGCAAACGTAAAAGCTCTATAGACTACGTGGGCTTTCGTGGAGCTTTTGGACTTACCTTCGCACTTCAGGCCCTGTATGAAGAAGCCGCCCATCAAGGAGCCGCAATGATCACAGAATGTGGGCGACATAAACGTGTGCGGCTTGAATCTGTGCGGCATATCGATCTTGAAGCGTTCGCGCAGCAGCTGCAATTGGCATAGATTGAAAACTAATGAATAGGGGTCTTCCTCGTCAGACGATTCGAGTGGGCCACCTACAATTGTGCTGGCGGAGTTGAAGACGGAGCCGGAACACTTGCCGAGCAGCTTCTCATGGCATTTCTTGTGCACAACGGTTTGGCAAACTGTAGAATATATATCGATTAGCTATCGATAGACGATTAGTGCAGCCCCATGCGATTACTCACTGATGCACTGGTAGCCCTGCTTGCCAAAGCCCCACAAAAACAAATTGCAGAACGCACAGAACGTGGGCTGACGGAAGAATTTCGCCACAAAGCGATGGCCATTGATATCGTGAGTTCTGTAAGTATTACAATATCGATTAATTGAAGTTTTAATAGGGCTCAGCGTACTTACTTTTGGTGTTTGATAGCGCCGCGGCGATTCGTAATGCTGCGTGGTCGCGTGCGACGATCCACGTAGCCACCGCTGCCAGCACCCCCAATCCCTCCCCCGACGCCACTATCCCTGTCCCTATCCCTGTCTCTGTCTCGGGTGTATGCATCCTCTTTGGAGTGCTGGCGAGGTAGCTCAAAGGAATGCTGCTTGCCATAATGATAGTGATTGTTATAGTGATCATCACAGTCACGATCCCGTTCACGGTCACGATCACGCCGTACGCCGCTAGCACTAGAGCCACTAAGGCCGCTCCCGGCGCCACTGCTGCTGGATGAGCTCGGCTTATAGCGCAACTGCAAGAGAGAAGGAGAGTGGGAGAGAGAAAGAAAGAGAGAGAGACAGTATTGAGATATTGTTATTCTACGTATAATTAATAATCCATCAAATTATTCAAGTTTAGCTTACGATATCAAATAGATCGTAGTGTTCAATGGGGTGGCTTTTTTTCTTCTACTTCGAAAAATATAAGAGTCTCATTTTAATAGGAGTGCAAATTCAATATACATATTTCGAGCTGGGGCGACAGTGCTTAAATTAAATGAAGATAATTCGAGTTGCTTCTATACTTCCCCAACCGATCGGATTTGCATCAGATTTCACTATGAATGAAACCCCGACTACGTCTCCAGTTGATATATTCGATTTTACGGTTGCTTATACGCGAATGTACCGAGTAACAAGAACTAAGCTGGATATGCCTAGAAATTTTTATAAAACCGGAAGTAGTTGGTTTCTAAGGAGCTATAAAGATACTCCTAGATAAAATAAGGTATCCTTTTTTTTTTTTTTTGTGTGTAAACTAGAAGCTCTAGGTTCAGCTAGACCGGAACGAGATTACTAACTAGTTCCCTTTTAAAGCATTTACATAAGATCTCATAACATTTTGATATATGACCATTATATCTCAGAGATATATAAGCAAAAGATTGGATATTAATCTGAAGAGAGAGAGAGAGAGAGAGAGAGAGAGAGAGAGAGAGAGAGAGAGAGAGACTATGCCATATCTTTTTACACTAATCTCATTGCATTTAGAGAACTGCAATTAGTTCATTAAAATATCTATAATATTAATGGTCTATGACTGTACTACATTGTGGTACCAACAATCGTCGCATGTAAGAGATATATTACAATATTATCTTCCATCTTATTTTTCCTCCTTCTGCAACTACAAATAACGTTGAATTTAGAGATGTAAAGAGTTAGATATCACATATATCAAATGATACATCAAATTGTGTCTATAGGGTTCTGGAATCTTTCTCTTGACCTGTGTAAGTACTTAGAGGATATCCAGCTGGTTTGCCTTGCACTTACATCATGACCCTGGAGACGCGATGAGCCGCCAGAGCTGCGCGCTCGCTGGCTGCTGCTGGCGCTGTTTGTCTTCTGCTTGCGCACCTGGGCGCGGGTGAACATCATCTTGGTGGGCAGAACGGTAAAGGAGCGCTCCCAACCACATACACATTCACATCCAGTTTCAGATTCAGTTTCGTATTCACGTTTGCCTCCGCTTCTGCGTCAATAGTTCAACAAAAGCTCCACGCGACGGTAACTGGAAGACTACGTCGAATGCCTCGATTCCGTATGCGATCCGCTCACGCTCGCGTACATACCAATGCACACATATATATACGGGTATATCTGCGTATGTGTGTATGTATGTGCGAGTTGAGGCAGTGCAGGCGGCAGGGGCTGCTGTCCGGCTGCTGTTTCTGGTTTGTGTTAGGTGCTTAACGATACGAAAGGCGAGAACGAGGCGTATTTCTTGTAAGTATTTATATTAAATAAGATGATCGGCGATGATCCGATATTGTTGTTGTTGTTGCTGCTGCTGTTGTTTTGTTGGCCTTCCTTTCAGTTCAACTGCAAGCGACTCTAAAGCGCCGCTAATGGACATCTGAAATATAGAAGCACTAATGAGAATCAAGTTTAGATACTCGCAATTTCTTGGGAATGTCTGTTAATAGATAATCTATACTTATGTATGTATATCGAGACATGGATATTGAGCTGATATTGCCAGCAGTAGTAGCTGAATTTATTTCTCGACTCTGCACTTCGTATTGCATTGCATTAGAGCAAGATCTGTTGTTACTTCATATTTCAATTTATATTGCTGATCGTGCTTTGTGGCCAGAGCGCCGACTTGAATTTTATAGATCATATATAAACGGACTTTGTTTTCATTTGAAATGAATACGTTATTTATTGATTAGTTAAACTGACTGAGCTTGAGCAGCAGCTAGAGCTGAGCAACTATCGCTGGCACTATGGAGATATCGAAAGACAACCTTTGTGCATCACTATCGATAGTTGTGTTGTCTCTATCGATATAAATAAGAAATGAGGCATTAATATATTTATTTATTTTATTTAAGCTTACATTTCTAAATTTATTGTTAGCGTGTTCAGTTTTTAGTTTCTGTTGAGTTAGATACTATCGATTACTATCGATACTCAAATCTTTGCTCTCAAATCATCGGACATATCGATTGCGGCTGACTTAATTTGACCAGAAAAATATGCGTCTGGTCTAGTTAGGTTAGTTTCATCAAGTTTTGTGTTTACGTTAAGTTAGCTTCACCAGGGCACAGAAAATATGAGTTAAGTTAGCTGCGCTTGCGCACAAACAATATATCAGATGACAGATTTAGCTTTTTTACCGTCAGTTTTGGCTTCTTTTTTTTTTTTAAGTTTGATAGGGTGAAAGTTCGAAAACAGAGAAAAACGGCAGTTTTAGCTTTTCATAAATTAGAAACTGGTTTTTTTTTTCAGTTTTTTTAATTTTTAAAATTCAGCTCTTTTTTGTTTTTGATCGTTTCCTAGTTTATTCTACCTTGATATGATGAATGAATTGAGCTACATCTGCATTTTTGCATTCACGTTAAGTTGGCTGCGCCTGGGCATTCGAAATACGTAGTCAAGTTAGCCGTTTCAAGTTTTGCAGTACGGATAGGTTGACTGCTCCTATTTGTATCAACAAAACGGACCATAATAAAGTATATAAACTATTGCATTCGTACTTCCTGCGAGAGGGAGCTCAATAAATTACCGAAACCTAAATAAATCTTGAAATTAGCTCAAGTCTATGAGTTTCCTGTGAATATAAAATGTGGAAAACATGAAGCAGCAGCAACAGTGCTTGCTCATGCGGCAAATGGGATCGTGCCTAGAGACAGGAAATGCCTCTCTCTCTATATAGTATGTATACATATCTCTGATAAATCTGTTTACAAAGTGTCTGTGGGCAAGGCCTTCAAATAGTAAGGGCACTTTGTCACGTATTCCCATAATGATCGATAGACTGACTGACTGACTGTTCGTTCGATCAGGCTATGATTGATGCGGCTCACTCACATACATACATACTCACAGTCTATGCATTCTACATATACGAGTATGTACTAGATGTGTAAACTATTCAATCTGAGCTATGTCTTGAATGGGATGGATCATTCGATAAACAATGGACTCAACAACTGGTTGTTGTTGTTGTTCGAGTAAATGTATCAAATGTTATTGTTTATGTGCTCGATTCTAATTAAATGCTGTTGGCTGTCCAATTTCTGGGGAAGTTCATTTGAGAAATTGCACAAGAGCAACAAGAAAAAAATAAAATGAAAACGAAAATGAAAATCTAATTAAAAAGAAAACAAACAAAATTTAAGTTGCGATATTTGACGGCATTTTGTTTTGCTTGAATGCTCATTTATATCACTGACCAAAGAACACATAGATGAGACATGTAGAACAAACTTTTTCACCACCGAAAAAATGTGCATTAGGGACTACTCACCTTCGTAGTTGCTCGGCTCCGTCTCTTACGGCTCGAGCAGTGAAAATACAAGACTACAAAGTCAGTTCGTTGCGAGCGCTGAAACGAAATGGTCCCATTCTTATATGAAGCAATGCTATGCGCTATTTGTCCTACTCTCTCTCTCTCACTCTATCTCTCTCTTTGGTCTCTCAAATCACCGAACTCAGCAGCGCACAAAAATTGAATGTTGTTCGCGGCGATCCCAGCTCTTTCCTCTTGAGTGAAGGGTATACCGAAATCATAAAAGCATTTGTNTATATATATATATGCATATAGATATATTTATAACCCGAAATGTATTTGCACGCTTTTGCCTTGAAGGGCATTCACACACACACACACACACACACACACTCTTGGTTGTTGTTGCATTTGTTTTAGGGATTCCACCAGCTCATGTTGTGGGCCTCAGATGAGTCGTCGTCGTCGTCGCTTAAATCTATGAATGTTGTTGTTGTTGTTGTTTGTTTTTTTATACTCATTTATTTTTGATTTTTGTTCGTGCCACCAAAAATAAGTTTGCGATTCATACAAAATTGTTGCTGCCTCTGCCGCTGCCGCTGCCCAATATAAATAGAATTAAGTGGCGATTTGTGTGAGATTGCGTGCCAATTGATTGCCGGATATGATTAAAGCCAAAGCCAAAAAAATAAAAAATAAAAAGTGCCAAAACTATGCGTGTGCTCGGCTTTTGCTTTTAGTAATGAGTAAAACACTTAGCGGAGCGAGAGAGAGAGAGAGAGAGAGAGAGAGAGAGACGGAGGCATGGCACTCGCAATTTGTTGCATAGCTTCTGGCGCATGAGCTGGCATGCGATGAGTCCAAGCAAATGGAGTGACTAAAAGTAATGTCCAATAGAGCTTCTTCTTCTTCTTCTTCTGCTTCTTTTTCAATATGTACAATATAATAGATATGATATATACACATCTGCATACAGTCATTAAATACTATTCTTTATTATAGCCAACTGTATATAGCTAAACATCTTTTGGCCAGATCTAAGCTGAATACTTAAACATATTTTTTATTGGTTTCTGTTTTGTTGTTGTTGTTGTCTTCTCTCGCATCTTCTATTTGGCATTGGCATTACTTTTTAACACATTTTTTATTACAATCTATAAGTGTCTCAAGGCTATCCAACAATAGAAATATCTAGCGGAATCTTGTGAAGTTTTATGTAGTTGGCATTTCATAATTTTGATTAAGTATTTATAAACTGATTATTTACACTATTTTGTTTATTATTATAAGTACAAGAATTATATATTGTTGGAAATCAAGTGAAAAACAAATTTATAAGAAAAATGAAAGTTCGAAAGCGAACTAAATGTTTCATTGAAAAGAGTTTATGTCGTTATTTATATGAGGTAGTCTTATCGACTGAATGTGCATAGATTCAGAGCTTTCGATTATTTTCACACATGTTGTACTTTGAAATAAATAAAAATCAGTTTTCCAACCGAATTGATGGGCTTTTGAATAATGCCCAGAACTATATATGTATTTATTTATAATCTAATACTTGGACTATATCTTTATAAGAACAGTTTCTTCTGCATTAGTTAAAGGTAGGTGGGTAGGTAATTAACTAGAATATTTTTCAGTATACATATATAACTATATATAATTAAAATATATAGTTTTAATAAATCAAAGTTTTAATAAACATCTGTAAGAAGTAAACTAGAAATATTGTGAATGGATCCATTATATAGATTGGCTATAAATAATAATACAAGTTTCTATATCCTACAATGATTTTATCCCAACAACGAAGAAGGAGATGGGAGATTAAAGCAAGATAAACGATTTTTAAAATTTTACAACAAATTCCCCAAGATACAAAATCGGAATCGGAATCGGTTGCAAGTATAATAATAAATCTCCAAGTCAAATACGTCAAAGAACTACTTCTGTCCAAAGAGTTACTAAGGATCGAAGAAGCATAATTAATAATACAAATTTCTAATCAAGAAAATAAAATAAATAAATAAATGAGCTTTACCAGAGACATATATACATATATATATATATATGCATGTAGATATGGAGCAGCATGTGTCAAGCTCAGCAATGAATCGATTCATTTGCGGTAAACAGTGCTCAGAAGAGATGTGGAGACTGGGATGGGATTGAAACTGAATCGGAATCGGAATTGGAATTGGAATCGGAATCCCAACTGGGCTGGGTTGGCGGCAACTTCGATGGCAACAGCGTCGGCCAATATAAACACATTCCGCATTGGTACAAAGCGCGCACAGACACACGCACACAGATACAGGCAGAGAGGCGTATGTAGACACAACAATAAATATTTCGTAGTGAAATGCTTTTGTTTTAATGCCCCGCAAAACACAGCGCAAATTGACTGGATGATTGTGCGGCCGTTGCGGCGGCTCTGGCAGTCTTTTAAATATGTATCTATATAGCTATATAGCTATATATGTACATGTATAGATTGAGAGGTGTATGTGTGTGTGTGTGTCTGCGTGTTTGTGACGTCATCAGAGCCTCGCACGTAGTCCGGGCTTCACTTTAGTACAATTTTGATTTTCTTACTTTCACGCAAATGATTTCAGTTGGAAAAAAATTGAATAAAAAAAAGTAACGGAACTTTTTTCACTTTTCACTTTGCACTGGGTAATTGCAACACGTATACGCCGCGTTGTACCGTGCGAGATTTGTCACTTTGCCTCGGATTTGATAGACTTGCAATTTGTTTTATTATTCTTATTTTGTTTATTGCTAGCTGAGCCTCTTTTTATTTTGTATTTCATATATTTTCCATTCCGCCTCTTTTTTTTCTGTATTTATCGAGTCTCTGCGCTCGCTCGGCCGCACAACAAACGTGAAGACGAGCGCGCAAACGAACGTGCGGACAACTGAAGAATACAATATTTTGGAAGAACAGAAATATATATATTTGTATATGTATATATGGTAGGAAAATATATATATGTATATGTATATACATATATTTGTTCTGTTCCGCAAATGCAAGGCGAAAAGGCAAATCTTACGCTCTGCGTTCGATCGCGGCACACGAAACAAAAAAACAAAAAAAATTGTATATGTAATATATGTTTGTATATATACAAATATATGAAGAAGCGAAAAGTCCGCCGTTCGACATCGGGCAGCGCACTGAATCCGCATCTGAAAGTGATATATAGTCAGTCAGTTGTTGTGTCTAGTTGTGTGTGTGTGTGTTGCCTCGATCGCTCTCCCTCTCGCTCTCTCTCTCAGTCACTCGCTCTTTTTATCTGGCACTCTCTTGCTATCTTTAAATATGCATAAAGTTCCGAGTTATGGACTAAATATGATTTGCTCTTCATATTTCTATCGAGATCAAGTTGAAGCACAGAGCGTACTAATGGGAGTAAAGAGAGAGAGAGAGAGAGAGAGAGAGAGAGAGAGAGAGAGAAAGAGAGTTGCTGGGCAAAACAAGAGATCGAGAGAGCGAGAGTGCAGGAGCATACCATCAGACTAACATCTGGTTTACAAGTCCTTCAGTTTGAAATTAATCTATATAAACTATTTAAAATACCCTGCAATTTACTATACAATANGATGGCGGCCCTCTATCGCGACAATCGCAGCGAGTACATGAGCAACGCGATCGACTGGACGCTGCGCTATGCGATCGCTCCAAGCGTCACTCTGCCGCCGCTGCAGCTGCAGCTGCAGCGCAGGTCGTTGTTCCAAACTCGCGTACGTCGTCTAGGTGTTGGAGGAGGCAGACGTGGTTATGGTGGCTTAGAAGGTCCAGGCAGCGAAGGTAGTCAAGGAAGTGGAGGTGCCCGGGGAGCCAGAGGAGCTGAAGGTGGCGGAGGTGCACCAGGAGGCAGACGTGCTCGAGGAGCCAGAGGAGCTGAAGGTGGCGGAAGAGCTGAAGCTGGCGGAGGTGCACAAGGAGGCAGACGTGCTCGAGGAGCCAGAGGAGCTGAAGGGGGCGGAAGAGCTGAACGTAGCGCAGGTGCACAAAGAGGCGGCGGTGACCAAAGAGGCGAAGGAGCTGAAGGTGCTGAACGTTCCCAGGGTGCTCAACGCGGCCAAGCTGGTCAGGATAACGGCAGTGGGCGCTTCAATTCGCAGCTGGACTCAGGTGGCGCAGCAGTTGGATCAGCTGGGCAGCAGCTTGGCGTGGATGAGACCAACAACGAGGCCGAATCCGTCGCGTGCGAGGCACAGCTGACAGCTGAAGAGCAGCAGTTCCACTTTACTAACATATGAAACRCAAATTAGCTGGAAACATTCTCAACTTTTTTTTATTTTTTTATTTTCTAGTTTCTTTTTAACATTTGTGTACTAATACATGGCTGCTAACATTTTGCGACTTTCTTCTTCTTTTCATTTCGAACTTCAGGCTGACAACAGCTGAGCTGATATGACGATTTTCTAGATGCAACACCATTATATATATATACCATAGATACATTTACAATACATCTATATATAATATGTAGCTGACTGATGAGATAGTTTAACTATATTTGTAACTTTGGCTTGAAATGACAAATTTTTTAAAAACTTTTTTTTTTCTAAAAATTTATTGATTTTTATCAGTGATATTTTCCACTTCCCGACTGAACTTGTTGTAGTTTCTTTTATAGGCGAGCTTAAATCTTCTCATAATTAATTTCCACCTTCTGCCATCCCTTCGATTTTCAAGACATTCCGAGAGATATACCTATAGGTATATAGATCTATAGACAGATCTATAGCTAGCTTGAGCTCACTAGCTGAAGTGCAATACGGAGGGATTCGCTTAGTCTAACACATCGATAGAACCTTAATAGAGAACATACACTTAATTATTATATTATATAGTATATGATATTGTCTTAATAAATTTTATNTGTATATATTAATACGAGACATATATCCATATATATATATATATATGTTTATGTGCATGTGTGTATGCATTCAGGAATGTACATATACATATTTATTTATTGACAAGCTGCCGCAAAGCAGCGGCGTGTTTATAATAACAGAAGGCCCAGCTAAGAGCCCAGGCAAATAGCAGGCAGTGGAACTATAATCACAATTTGGGTGACAATCGAAATCGGAGTAGGAGCAATCGGTGCGGATGAACAGTGTCATAAATTTGACGACTGACAATCGAAGCTCGACACTTTTCACATCGAGAAAAACTCTGAGACAGACAACTTGCACGCTGCTAGCTCAATTCTCCAGTGATTCGCGAAAACACGTCCAGACATGGCCGAGCGTCGTTTGAGAAGGGAACTGAATGAGCTGTACAAGCAACAGCCGCGCAATTGCTGTGTTTGGCCCGTCACCGGCGATTTGATGCTCTGGGAGGCGACCATTTTGGGCGTCAGAGACACGCCCTACTACTTGGGCGTCTTTTCGCTGCGTCTGCAATTTACCCACGACTATCCGTTTGTGGCTCCCCGTGTACACTTCCTGACAAAGATATACCATTGCAACATTGACTACGACGGATACATTTGTTGGGACCTTCTCAGCACCAGGTGGACAGCTTTCATCAACGTCTCAACCATACTGCATGCCGTGTGCGCCCTGATGCGCGAGCCCAACACCGACGACCCCTGTGACGAGATGATGGCGGCCCTCTATCGCGACAATCGCAGCGAGTACATGAGCAACGCGATCGACTGGACGCTGCGCTATGCGATCGCTCCAAGCGTCACTCTGCCGCCGCTGCAGCTGCAGCTGCAGCGCAGGTCGTTGTTCCAAACTCGCGTACGTCGTCTAGGTGTTGGAGGAGGCAGACGTGGTTATGGTGGCTTAGAAGGTCCAGGCAGCGAAGGTAGTCAAGGAAGTGGAGGTGCCCGGGGAGCCAGAGGAGCTGAAGGTGGCGGAGGTGCACCAGGAGGCAGACGTGCTCGAGGAGCCAGAGGAGCTGAAGGTGGCGGAAGAGCTGAAGCTGGCGGAGGTGCACAAGGAGGCAGACGTGCTCGAGGAGCCAGAGGAGCTGAAGGGGGCGGAAGAGCTGAACGTAGCGCAGGTGCACAAAGAGGCGGCGGTGACCAAAGAGGCGAAGGAGCTGAAGGTGCTGAACGTTCCCAGGGTGCTCAACGCGGCCAAGCTGGTCAGGATAACGGCAGTGGGCGCTTCAATTCGCAGCTGGACTCAGGTGGCGCAGCAGTTGGATCAGCTGGGCAGCAGCTTGGCGTGGATGAGACCAACAACGAGGCCGAATCCGTCGCGTGCGAGGCACAGCTGACAGCTGAAGAGCAGCAGTTCCACTTTACTAACATATGAAACACAAATTAGCTGGAAACATTCTCAACTTTTTTTTATTTTTTTATTTTCTAGTTTCTTTTTAACATTTGTGTACTAATACATGGCTGCTAACATTTTGCGACTTTCTTCTTCTTTTCATTTCGAACTTCAGGCTGACAACAGCTGAGCTGATATGACGATTTTCTAGATGCAACACCATTATATATATATACCATAGATACATTTACAATACATCTATATATAATATGTAGCTGACTGATGAGATAGTTTAACTATATTTGTAACTTTGGCTTGAAATGACAAATTTTTTAAAAACTTTTTTTTTTCTAAAAATTTATTGATTTTTATCAGTGATATTTTCCACTTCCCGACTGAACTTGTTGTAGTTTCTTTTATAGGCGAGCTTAAATCTTCTCATAATTAATTTCCACCTTCTGCCATCCCTTCGATTTTCAAGACATTCCGAGAGATATACCTATAGGTATATAGATCTATAGACAGATCTATAGCTAGCTTGAGCTCACTAGCTGAAGTGCAATACGGAGGGATTCGCTTAGTCTAACACATCGATAGAACCTTAATAGAGAACATACACTTAATTATTATATTATATAGTATATGATATTGTCTTAATAAATTTTATTGTTCAATTGACAAGACAAGATGAGATCAAGATCTATTTAATTGTTTATTGATATTGATATTGAAAACAACTTTACCATCTCTTTCTACAGGATAAGGATAAATATGCATATGGATTGGTCACTGGGGGCGTGGTAAATTGAGAGAAGTTGCACCTGTTCAAGCTGACCTGCTCTATTGCTAAATCGGATAAGTCTATATCCTGCCTTTTCTGGGCGATATTGTTACCAAATGGTCGATAATGGGTATTATGCAGTCGGTAGCAGCCGCTA